CTTTCCCTATGATATGGAGAATATGGTTAGGTAAGAATATACCTAATCATGCTGTACTCTCTAGTAGTCTAATCCTAAACCCAAATTCAGTTTCTCCAATGGGTTTTGGGTGAGTACTGCAATATTTCCCAGACAGAGTTACGTGATTTTTTTCATTTGTGAAATATTCAATTTGGTGATAACAGTGTGTTTAACAAACTCCTTTTGAAAGGAAATTTATAACACAAAACAACCCTTAAGAAAAGAGTGAATATTTTGGTTTGCTTGCTTTTCTAGTTAGATGTTTGACTTTTCAACTAAAAAAAAATAAAAAATAAAAAAAAATAAAAATTACTCTAATAAAATTTAAGTTATTTAAACTGAAAAGGGAGGTTTTGTAGCAGGTTGAATTAAATATTAATTTCAACAAAACTATTTACTCCTTTTCAACAGTTTGCTTAACTATTTTTTGGGAGCTTACTCCAAATGATTTATGTTATTTGGTGTAAGAACTTGAACTACTAAAGAAACAAAAACCAAAAATCAGTTACTTCTGTAAGTTCACAAGTACTTATGTATGTCTTGTCCTTAAGTGGGAAAGAAGTATGACAAGAACTTATTCATTTTTTCCCCACAATGTACACATGAATGTCAGCAAGTACAAATTGTCTTCAAATGACTGCACGGTCCCCTATAAGTGACTACATGTAAAAGAAAATCATTGCATGTGTGGTAGTGGCAATGGACAATAAAATTATACAAAAACCTGGCTAATTATGTTCTCACTGTTTTATTATTCATTAAGGAAAATGTATTATCTATGTAACATTTATACCTAGAAGGAAAAAGAAATACCTGAAAATTGTGGAGGACACGCGCATTCATAAGAATCTCCAGAAAGTTCTAACTTCTCAGTGCAGGAGGCATTGTTGTGGCAAGGTTTAGTGGAGCACATATCAAACTTCTGGCAGAATCTTCCAGAATATTGTGAGAAGCAATGGCAATTATATGCTTTTTCCCAAACATGGCTTAGACATTTTCCATGCCCAGAGCATAATGGTGCATTTGGAGATTGTTGGCAAAACTGTTGCTTCACAGTTACATTCAGACGAAGGCCCATGTTGCACAATAGCGGGCCTTTCTTATGAAGCTCTGCAAAGTAATGAGTTCCTACTCCAAGCCAGTTAGGGTCAACTTGGTGCAATCCTCTTATCTGGCAAGAGAAAATCAACTGCTTTTGAAGAAAACCAGCTTTGGGGCAGTTAATGAATTCTTCCTTGGAGACATTTACCAAATTCATTCCATAGGACTGAAAGGATGGCTCAGAGGAGATGAAGAGACTGTCACCTAACTGAAGCTGTAAGGGGCATATCTGAGGGATACTGATGTTTTGTTCTGAGATTTCCCCAGTAATACTTTTATTCATATTCCAACATTCGGTGTAAAAGTCGGAGCATATGTTTTCCCTTGGTGTCCATTTTATTACAGTAGGTTTTGGTTCCACTCGCCATTCAGCAGTCATTTGCCTCTCACATGTTACCTGTCCATTTACAATGCATAACTGAAGAAAGCACACTAACATGCAAAATGCCAATTTTGTAGTCATTTTTTTCACCTGGCAAATGGGAGTAGTCTTTCACACTTGCTTCATTACTGAGGATACCTTCAGAACACTTTTTCCTTAAGGTTTGTCTGTTTTTTCCATGGCAGCCTAAGAATTCAGAGGAAAAATATTTCTATTTTCACACCAAATATACAGTTGAACATCAAAGCCTCTTTGCAAAACCAGAACATATACAACAAAGCAAGGTCTACATCTAATTACACTGATGTGAAATGAATGAGTCCAATTAATTTATCAGAACTATACCACTGTAACTGAAGTCAGATTTTTCATGTTTCTGAACAAATCCTGCTAAAGATTTGATTTTCATTCAATACATTTCATTGTACTTGTGTATGGAAGAGAAAAAGCTTAAAAATATGCTTTCCATATTCCCTCCCTCTGTTGACAGAAACTAATAATAACCAAGTTAAGATAGGACATCTGTGGCAAAACTAAATAAACCAGAACATTTAAGCTCTAGTCATGAGCTTTAACCATAGGTGTTTTCCTGCTAATGATTTATCATTAATTTATGATAAAGGTAGATATTGTGAAGATGTAGGCATGTGAATTATGGCTTCAATGAAGAAAACATACAAGCACATCCTCAACTCTTTTATGGTCACATACATTCAGCAAGACACTTAAATAAATCCTGAGTTTTCAAAGTATATTATCTGAAAACTGAAGGTCCTTAATCATATGCTTGACATTTTTGGTGTACCACAGTCAAAGGCAGCAGGCTACAGAGTCCTCCAGGACTTTTAAGTTAGAAAATCCTTTTTTGGCCCTTCAATATATCCGACTATTTTTATTGCATGGAGATGAGTGATCACAGAACAAAAAGAAAACCAAAATAAGATTATGAAGCTTATTCTTGGAATTATAGTAAAAAGTATAAAAACACAATATGATGTTTAATACCTTAGAAATCATCAATAGCTTTGAGTTATAACAGTTTAATTTGTCTTAAATATAATGTTTTTTCCCCCCTTTAGTTCTATAGTGTTGTTTTTTTGTTTTTATTTTTCTCAGTATATTGCTCTTACAAATTAGGAGGGTGGCCTCTAAAATGACATGTACAAATGAGAAGATTATAGTAAAGAATGAACTTTGTCTTAAAAGGAAGCCGTGAAATAAAAAAAAATATAGCATCTATATTTTGAAATTTTGTTTACATGTTTTTATTTTTACATAGCATGTGGAATAACATGGATGTATATGTTTCTATACCTACATACACTTGGTCTACCTTTAAAGTGCACATTGATTAAATACTGCTTTAGTGACGTTATTTCATTAAATGTCCTCTTCCCTTATGTACTTAAAAAATATTTTTGAGTATTCTTTGTATTATGCTGAAAGATCAAAGTAGGACAAGAAAGATAATGTTTGTGGAAACCTTGAGCTGGAGAATATTAAATGACCAGTGAGCTGTTGAAAATTATAAGATAATATCAAAGGGTGGTATTCCATCTCTCATTATCACCTAATTTTAGATGGTTTTGATGAAAACATCTAAAATTTAGCTATGTCCTGTTAGTAAATTGCTGTGCATATGAACCTATCCCAATGAGCTTTGTGCAGCAGAGTGACCAGTACTGTTTAAGCCTTTGAAGATACCAGAAAGGTATTAATTACTGAAGCCAAATTCTGTCTTCAAACAATTGAAGTACTCTAACCACCTAGCTCCACAGCCAGGCAAGTATGCTAATTTCTAATTCCCCTCTCTGTCTCTGTGGTTGAGGTCCTGGGAGCTAATTCCCCATAGAAAAAAAGAAAGGACATGGATCTGCAAGAAAACTACTAACCTTTTTACAGAATGTTCATAGTCTTTCTATTTTGAGACCATTCCATTATCTTCAGAATCTCATGATGTTCAATGATGCCATTAGATAACGTGCTATCAAATGTGTAGTTTGGATCATTTAGCATTTTTTCTTTTAAGGAAGCAGTGTTGAACTATTATATCCATTATAGCTGCTATTACATCTGTCACTATTACCAGGTATAAAAATCTATGCTCTATATTACTGTATATTTAGAAATACTACATTCAGCAACCCATCTTTACATACCTTTTTCATAATGAGATCTTCTCAGGAGTTCCTAAAATAGATATTTATAAAAGTTCTTTTCCTTTTAAGGCTCTTAAGGGAAAAAAAAAGAAAAGCTATTGCATACCTAATACAGAATTCTTGCCCACTTATATTTTGCCCTTCATTCATGTAATTATGTATCGTTCTGCTATCATACACAGGCTTCATTTTTACTGATAAACAAAATGTTCTCCCTCACTATATTTGTATGGAATAAAACTTCTGAACTATTTTAAAATAAGTAATCAGTATTATTATAATAGGTGACACTCTTCACAAAAATTATTATTAGTCTTCATGTGACTGAAAGATTATTATGGTAATACTATAATTAATAATGTTAAGTAAAAAAATGCATATTGTAAAAACATTGGAAAAAAACAGAGGAAGACGGAAATGAAATATTAAAAGAGAAAAAAGATTGTTTTTTAACAATAAAATCAAGAGGAAAAAAAGTTATATAATTAGAGGAGTATGAAAAGTAAAGAGTTATGCATGAAATCATTAAAATAGAGTTACAACTTTAACATACCTGACCTTAGAAAATCAGAAATTAAATATCTGCAAAATGCTGATGCCATGTCATGAGACAAAATTATGTAATGAGATTAAATTTTAAAGTGATTATGATAACTGTTATAATTTATGCCTGCTCTAGGCAAGGAGAAAATCTTCCTGTCTATAACCCCAAATTCTTGATGAAGACTAATAGAAGTCCAAGACCAGGACTTGTATGGACACATAGTAAGATACTTGAGGAAAATCTAAATCTTAAAGTTACATAAGGCTGGGTGAAAAACAGCGCAGTGTTCTATTTTGTACTAAAGGAGAAGTAAAGCAGAAAGGTTTATGCAGAACCCCAGGGAAGTAATTTAAAACCAAAAATGAATCACAAGTTATTTGCATTCCAGTTAATCATCTTAAAGATTGTGTTTTCTTTCTATTAATAAGAATTATTAAATACTAATAACAAAAATAAAGTACATTTTAAGCAAGATTACAGAAATACTCACAGAAGATATCTGACTCTAAAAACCTCTCAGAAAAAACAGAATCTATCAAAGAAGAGAATAAACAAGAAAATGTTTAGGAAGATCGTGTCATCATGTTGGGACCAAATGAATCTCCTCTTGCCATCTCCCCACACGATACATGAACACTTTGTGGCTGCCTGGCTGTGCTTAAGGTCAACTCTGGTAGGGTGAGCCTATGATTTTGGGTCAAACTGCTGTGAAAAGAGCTGAGAGAGAGTTGTGGGAGGACTTGGTGGGGGTTCCCCACCTCCCTCAGGTTCTGCATTAACCTCAGGTTCTCGCCCCTGGTCCTCACCTGAGCTATGCTGCAAGTGGGCTGGTACTATACCTTGCTTGCCTGGGCCTTGACCCTGACACAAATATTTGACTTACTGGCTTGATCTCAGGACCTATCTCCTCATTGTGGACCTGCCTGGGAACCACTGGACTGTTGGCTGGGTTTGGGTGTCATCCCCAGACCCACTCTGTGCTTCTTGTATGAGTGCTGTGGAACAGTGCCCCTTGCCACTGAGGTCACTGTCACTCCCCTCTCCCAGCATCACTCCCTTGCAGGACAGCCCATGCTTGCTGCTCCCTGGGAATGTGATATCATGATCATTTTATTTCTAATGGATATTTAAAATCATTACATTTAAGCATTATTTAATACGTACACATAATATAGGAAATGCTGCAAATTATAGTGCCTGCACAATTTCATTTCCACCCTCTGTGTGTTTTACAACATGTACTAATTGCCTTGATGACATACCAAGTTGTACTTTGTAACCTTACATTTTTTATCACAGTTCTTAAGAAATGGTACATTATTCATGCCAATCATCATTCTTTGCAAAAGGTCCTTTCGTTATTTACTATACAACATTCAAAACACGTAGTTTGCTGAATTTTTAGGGTGTTAATATGATTTTCTAGAATATTGAACACGCTAGACAGTGAATTTACCTGCACCTGAAAATACAGATTGCTTGTTTCTACCTTGTAGTTATACTATATCTATAGACGTGAGTGGTGATGAAGCCAAAGCTGAAGTTATCAGGGCTTTCAGATGGCTAGTCTTTTACTCACCAATCTGTACAGTATTATTGTAGTCATAACAGTATCAAGTCAGGGAATTTTACTTGACTCTAATTTATTGCTAGCTGTCATGGTTTAACCTTGGCTGACAACTGAGAACCACACAGCTGCTTGCTCAGTCACCCCTGGTAGGATGCAGGAGAAAATTGAAAGAGTAAAAGTGAGAAAACTCATGGGTTGAGGTAAAGCCAGTTCAATAGGGAAAACAAAAACCACACACAAGCAAAGTGAAACAAGGAATTCATTCACTACTTCCCATCAACAGGCAGGTGTGCAGCCATCTCCAGGAAAGATGGAGATGCATAACAGTTACTTGGGAAAAGTAAATGCTCTAACTCCGAACCTCCCCCCCTTTCTTCTTCTTCCCCCAGCTTTTTGTTGCTGAACATTACTTCATACAGTATGGGATATCCTTTTGGTCATTTGGGGTCATCTGTCTTCTCTGTGTCCCCTCTCAGCTTCCTGTGCACCTGCAGACTACTCATTTGTGGGGTGGTATTAGAAGCAGAAAAGACCTTGATGCTGTGTAAGCCCTGCTCAGCAGTTACAAAAACATCCCTGTGTTATCAACACTGTTTTCAACACAAATCCAAATACAGCCCCATACTAGCTACTATGAAGAAAATTAACTATATCTCAGCTAAAGCCGGCACACCAGCCAATATAAAATTCTGTTCAGTGATTCTAATATTGAGAAAAAGAATCA